GTCCAGAGCGTCAACAGAGTGGTGCACTGTGGGATAGCTCCCGGAGCTATTACCGTCGATTTCCATCCACACCTAGCCTAATTCGATATGGCCATGTCGAATTTAGCGCTAATCCTCTCGTTGGGGAGGATTACAGAAATCGATTTAAAGAGAGCTTTATGTCGAACTAAATGGCTTCCTGGTGTGGACGGGTGCAGGGTTAATTCGATATAACGGCGCTAAAGTCGACATAAAAGCCTAGTGTAGACCAGGCCTGAGTTACTTCCCAGAGCATGGTTTTGCTGATCTGTCTTGAGTAAAGCAAGACTAACACCACCACATGTGTGGCAAAAGAGAGCAGCAAGGGAGCACAGTCTGGCATCCACGGAGGGAGGTGTGTGTGAGTGACTCTTCTAGCTCCATGGGGTTGCATTGTGGGTTAGTATGGCCTGGAACCTGTTTCCAGAGCGCTGCTGGTTCTTGACAGATACAAGCTGCTGCCCTACAAGGAATATGAAATACTGATGTCTCAACAACAATCGCTATATAAACAAGGGTGGGATCCAGGACTCCTGACCCATCGTGTTCCAAATCTATTCCTCTGTACTTAATCTGCTCCCTTGTGTTGCAGTCACTGTTCAGTGCCTCGTGGATGGTCACTTTGTTCTGGTGGTCTCCAGGGACATGTCTGATCACCCTATCATCCTGGACAGTGTCCGGCTAGCCTATGCCCAAACAGGGTGTGATCCCATCAGAATGACTGAGGCTTTTGTGATCTTCCGCTTCCCCGTCATGCAGTGCGGCACCACAGTCCAGGTGAGGACACTCCCTGTGGAAGCCAGGGAGAGTGCTCTGCTCAGGATCTTGGGGGACTAACCCACCCTATGTCTCAACTCTGCCAGGTGATTGGGGACAAACTGATCTATGAGAACCAGCTGATCTCTAGCATTGATGTCCAGACTGGGCCAGATGGCTCCATCACCCGGGACAGCACCTTCATGTAAGTTGGCCTGCTCCATGCTTGAAGGGCTGGTGTTGGAGAAGTAACTCCAACCTTCCCGTATCCCAAGGGGATGGGAATAGGCTACTTCACTGACTAGTGAGATACTGTGATCCCTCCATTTCCCCACTTCAACAGACTCTCCTGTCCAGAAGGTTTCCCAAGCATCTTGCAGACTAAGCTCACTTCAGAAAAGGGTCAGCCACCTTCTGAAGTGCAGTGCACCATCTACCTAACAGCATATAGAAATAACTGCTGTAATTGGCTTATCTAGGGAGGCAGACCAAAAGTACCCTCTGTTCACGGCACTTTGTATGCCATGAATGAGATCTGACTACAAGTGAGCAGGTGCTTCTCTCCCATCTGAGAAGGCCCCCATGTGGCCATGCTCAGGCACTCCTGCTTGGCCCCCGAGTTGTAGGGAAGAACATCTGAGTTGCTGGAAGGGTTGATGCACTGGCATCCTTGGATGCCTCCCATCCAAGTACTGATCGGGCCTGACCCTGCTTGTCTGAAGTGCTAATAAGGTGACTGCCAGAAGCAGTATTAGCTCAATCTGAATTCATTGAGCATCAGCCCGACACCCCCCACACACACACATCTCCTCCCTCTGCTCTCTCCTGTGCAGCTTCCATGCTCGCTGCATCTACAATGCCAGTGACTTCCTGCCAGTCCAGGTGGAGGTCTTCTTGCCCCCCACACCTGCTCCAGTCACCCAGGCAGGACCCCTCCGGCTTGAGCTGCGCATTGCCACAGGTAGGCAGCCCCTTTGACTCCAGCACAGAAATCCCATCTCCTGAAGGGATATAGGCATCTCAGCTCTGCTCTCCTCCTGCCCTCTCCCCACACAGACTTGAGCTACAGATCCTATCTCACAGAGAGAGACTACCCTGTGGTGAAGGTACTCAGGGACCCTATCTACATGGAGGTTCGCATCCTGCAGCGAACAGACCCTAACCTGGTTCTGTCTCTCCACCACTGCTGGGCTACCCCAAACGCAAACCCCCTGGAGCAGCCACAGTGGCCCATCCTCGTGGACGGGTGAGTGAAGTGCAGGCATCCATATTAGTGGAGGAAAGAATAGTGCTTGGTCAAAATTGAACAGTGTCCCTTTGCTCTCAGGTGCCCATTCTTGGGAGACAACTACAGAACCCAGCTTGTGCCCATAGGCTCTGAGCTGCCCTTCCCAACTCACCACCAGCGCTTTGTCCTCTCCACCTTTGCCTTTGTGGACTCAGCCTCCCAGATAGCACTTGATGGAGAGGTAAGGATGACCTGAATCTACTCAGGGGTGGGAAGGGTCCTTTCCTGTTCAGGCAGGGACCTCCATCCTCTATGCTCCTCTTGTAAAGAGCAATGTCCCCACCATTTGTGACGCTTGCCTCCTAGATGAGGCCATGGCCAAGTGGGAGGGTGTAGCTTTAAAAACCTCTTCTCCTCCTTCTCCCCCCCCCCCCCCCCCCAGCATCAAGCTGGAGCAACTGGTTCCCTTGATCTCACTGGCCTATGATGCTCCTAATTTAACACCTCGCTTGAGTCTGGCACTTACAGCCATTACCCCCAAAATGGGCACAGCATCATGATAGCTGCTTTAGGAACACAGTCCCTTGAACTACATGTGATCCAGGTTGTATATGAACAGTGACCAGCTGGGAGTCTCTGCATCTCAGATGTTTAATGTCCTAGCTCCAGCTGGCTAGTGGATAATGCTCCCCAGGATCGTGTTACCAGCATCAGATGTCAACAGCCTCCATGGCATTGCTATACCTCAAGATGCATGTCTGGGTGCCACTGGGGGGTGGGGTGTACACACACATACAATCAATCCTGGAGGGGGCCATTTAGGGACCTGGGGTAGAAATCTGTCTGAGGATTGGTCCTGCTTCGAGCAGGGGTTTGGACTAGATGACCTACTGAGGTCCCTTCCAACCCTGAAATTCTATAACCTGGGTTCTCATGGGGCTTAGTCCAACAGCACCTCCTTGTCATGTAATGCACTGGGGCTGGTACTGCCCTCTGCTGGATGGAATCTGTTCTGGTAAGCATCTTTACAATGACCAGAGTCCAGCAAAGAAGATAAGACCTCTCTGGCTTCAAGATTAGGCTAGATAAGTTTATGGAGGGAATGGTTTAATGGGATAATGTGATTTTAGTCAATTAGGTAATAAAGTGCCATCGCTGGTAAAATGT